GAACCCCGGCCGCCACCAGCGGAGCGCGCGCACTTAACCGCTAAGCCACGGGGCCGGCCCTGAACATCCTTAAAGCTATTCTTATTTGGTGCAGGTGGAAAAAGAAATCTCACCTATCCAAGGCTAACACAGGGCAGAGGTGTCTCTGGGTAAACAAGCTTTTCATTTCTCACAGTGTCCACAGGATCTGAGTCTGACACCATGGATTTCAGTTCACTGGACTTTTAAGGGCAATGAAGTTGTATGGATTCATCTGAATATCCAGGGGATGTATAATTTCTTCTTTTAATTTTTTATGTTTGTCTTGCAAATCTAATAGAAGAAAATTTTACCTATGCTTATGAGTAAAAAGAATAATAGCAGCTCCCATTAAGCGCCTAATAATAACTGGTAATTTACTAATACCATCTCACTTAATCCTTGCAAAAACTCCAGGAGGTATGTAAATATCTCATTTTACAGACAAGGAAATTAAGACCCAGGGAGGTTAAGAAAATTTGCCTTTAGCCACACAGTGAGAAAGAGACAAAGCAGAAACGGATTCAAGGTCTTTCTGACTCTTCTCTCTGCCTGCGATGGGGACGGGTGCTTTGTTCTATTGTCACCCCGCCTCATCTGCTCCATCCTGGGGAAAACTCTGGCTGTTCCATTATAATCTTTATCATGGAAGAGGCAGGGGAGCGTGTTGTTCTGAAACAAGTCACGCACTACAGTGTTGGCCAGACTGACTCCCAGCCCTTGAAGCCTTTGCTCTATTTTTCTGCATCACCCCCTCCCTGGTGACATTTTAGCAAGTTTTCTAAGTTACCCCACCACATTTCTAGTTTTCCTCCTGCTGGTCTATGGGGACAATGGGTAAAACTGAGTCATTCTTGCTACATCTTCCACTTGCTACCCCTTGCTACCCTCTCCTGGCAGGCTGAGTCCACACTAGGGTAGATGGGTATGAAGTTAGAAATGCCAATGAATGGGGAAATGGGTACAAGGGTCATCTTCTACATTTCTACACACTAGAGTTAACCAAATTGGGGCTGGGGGGAGAAAAAGAGACATTAACCACAGTTAAGACACATTAAATGAAACGTTTCTCAAGTTGTCTATGAACACAGACACTATCCGTGTTTCAAATCCTGCCTTCACTATTCTCCAAGGGTTCTTTAAAACTGTGCCAGAATGTGCTCAGCTGAGCTGGGATCTTGTGATTCCTGCTCATGGTGGAGCCACACGCAGATTGTGTCCCTCAGAGCCCCAAGCAGCAAACATCAAATCTTGGCAGCAACACTCAGAACTGCCTGTGCCAGTGACTTCCTGGAAGCTCTAACACTAAGTGGGATTGACTCAGGGTGAACAACTCACTTTTGGGCCCCAAAGGTGCCTGCTGGGCTCTGATGTTTACACACCAACAATTCTCCTCTGGGCTTTGGCAGTCTGTCCTCAGAGGCTCGACTTGGGAACAGCCACTCTCCTATAACTGCCAGGAGGCACATAATTGCCTTTCAACCACAATGACTTTAAATGAACTTCTGAAAAAGACTTTTTCTAGGGTTTTGGGGGGAGAATTTATAACAATCTTAAAGATACTAGAGAAAGTGCTGATTGAGAATGGTTGTTCTATAAAAAGTATGTAATTGACTAAAATGGGATGGTGGGCAAAAAGCAGTATTTGCATAATCACTTGCCTATATCAATTAAGTTTCAATTTTATGCATTTCTTAGGCCTTTAAACTAAAGTTATTTTTCTAATTATCAACAGCTTGATTTTGTTTTTTTTCTTAAATTTTATTTATTTATTTATTTTCCCCCCAAAGCCCCAGTAGATAGTTATATGTCATAGCTGCACATCCTTCTAGTTGCTGTATGTGGGACGCGGCCTCAGCATGGCCAGAGAAGCAGTGCGCGCCCGGGATCTGAACCCGGGCTGCCAGCAGCAGAGCGCGCGTACTTAACCGCTAAGCCACGGGGCCGGCCCAACAGCTTGTTTTTAACACAATCTTTTTCCACTGCTCAATTTAATTTCTTCTCCTGCTTTACCCCCACACACAGGATAAAGAGGTCAAGATAGATACACACACACTCACCCATCAATTTAAAATATTCAAAGAAAAGGAGAGACATATGCAGAAGTGGGTACAAAGTCTGGGTGGGATTGGAGAGGAAGAATAAGCAAAAAGGGAAAAGGCAGAAAGTGTTCAGGAATAGTCCAGGGAGCTTGGGGAAAGATCTCAAAGCTGTCTATGTTCTGGCTAAAGAAAATCGGATTGTAAGGGATGAAAGAAAGATCAACAAAGGGTGTAGAAAAGCTATAGAAGACAAATTCAGAAAAAAATAGAATCTGAAAGAGAAGAAGAGATGAGGTGGAGCAGGACAGGAGCATAAGTTTGGGAGGACCAGAGGGCTGGAGAAAGACTCACCCTCCTCATCTCCTGTGGCATTCCTGGCCCTGGAAGGTGGAAAGGGAGTAACTGCTACTGTCTCAACTATCCTGCAGGCCAGTCAAAGACTTTTGCACTTGCTAGGCAGAGACCTTCTGGGCAGCTCTGGTTAGGAGAGCAAAGGTGATCACTGTGAGCAGCTCAGCCCCTCCTCTGGGCAGTACTCGCTGGAGTTTGGGGCAGGAGGCACAGATCCTGGCCAGGCACCTTCACAATAGAACTATTTGCTTGAACTCAAGCAAAATAAGCCTATTCTTAGAAATCCTATGAGACTAGTAGAGGATTATTTTAACCCAGATATGGATGTGCCTGGGAAAATCAGCCTCCTAAATCCTTGTCTTAGTGCATCCTTGTCCAGGAATAAGGAAAAAGCTCGATGAGACACACCACTATGACATGATATGTCACCACAACCTGGGGATGCCCGGAGTCACCTCACCAGGAGGTGGTAGTGGCCACCACCAGCCTGACAGTGGTGGGAGAGGTATCCAGAAGCAAGGGGAAAAGCTGGACCTGGGACTTTACCCCTGGCTGATAGCCTTCACCCTGACATGGCCAAATGGGTCCTCACAGGCCATGGACCACAAAGTAACACACCAGTTACCTGGTTTTGCTGCTGATGCTGAGGCATCATTTGAAAACAGCTCCCATTTTCTTGACATCAAGCATGTCAAGAGGGCCAACATCATCTGGCCTTGTTCCGAGTGGAAAGGGTAGCTCTTTTGAATCTGTATTCCCCACTCTAATTCTATATCCAAATCCCCAAAATTGCACTGGGCGAGTATCTTCTTCACTTTTTGGAGGGTGGGGAAGGGTGGTGTTCCTCAGTGGTCCTCAATTCTGGCCATGTGTCAAATGGCTTGAGGAGCTCTCCTAACTACGAAATCCCAGTCACCATCCCAGGAGATGCTGGCTCAGCCGAATGAGGCGCGACTGACTCAGAGGCAGGGCATGCGGGATGTCTGGAGTTAGACACACCGAGTGTGGCGGGAGGGGAAAGGAATCAGTAGAGCAGTAGAACAGAGTAAGTAAAAGCCCATGTTTGGAGGGCCCCACAGACCTGGGTTTGAATCCTGGCTCTGCCACATACAGTGTGATCTTGCACATATTACCTAAACTTTCTGAGCCTCACACTCTTCATTGATAAAATGAGGACTTACTTCAAGGGGTTGCTGGGAGCATGAAAATGAGGTAACAATTGTGGTGCCCTCAGCATGGAGCCTTGTATTCAGTAAGGGCTCCATAAATGGCAGGCCCGGCACAGTCATTGTGGTGGCTCTGCTATTATTATTATTAATAGGATTCTGACTGTGAGCTGCTGAGGTGCTGGCCACCACACTGCTGTTTCCTAAAGCAGGAGGGAGGGGAAGAGGCAGCGGTGGCGTTTCTGAAGCTGTTTCTCCACAGCTTGTTCCTCTCGCTCCTGCTTCAGGATGTCTGAAGACTCCTAGCAGCCCCTCCATGCTCTGGGGGCAGTGGTGGGTGGGGCTGGCGCTGGTCTCCATCAACATCCCCTCTCCCCATCCCCACAATCTTTTTGACTTAGTGGCATCTAAGATGCAAGGAAAGGACATTCGCCTTTGAGAGAGAAAATGGAGTGTAATTCCCATACAAGTAGCTTTGGGTCAGAGAGGAATGAATGATGGGGAGGAGAGGATGGGTCAAGGGAAGATTAAAAAACAAAGAAAGAAAAACTCACTTGCTTAGCCTTACTTCAAAGTTATTCCCAAAGAATTTCTGGTAAATTATTTTTATTTTTGATAAGCTTTCTAGTGACCAGGGTATGTAGTGAAATTACAGGAAATAAGCCTCCTGAATTCATTCTACTGAATTCTTCCCAAATTTCCTAGCCCCAATTCCTTTGTTTCCTCATGAAACAGTATTCGCAACATCGCTCCTTTCCCAGAGTGGTCTCAAAGATTATAAAATGACTAGAAGTGACTGCTCCTTGTTGGAATTTACAGAAATTTCTTTAAAAGCACATTTTAAATCTCATTAAGACATAATAATTCTATTTATTTTCTGAAAGTCTGGCCAGAAGTTTACTTTTTCACTGTAGCTGGAGGAGGAATAAAAGAACGTTGTTAAGCAAGCCGGCGTAAACAAATTTTCACATAGCCCTTTATTATTTAGGAGAATCAGCTTTGAGACACTTAGAAATGTCTTTTTTTATACTGTATAAACAACTAGAACTTAGATAGAGGCAGCAACCCTTAGGCTAGGTTTTGACAGGTTTATTGCAAATAATTCTAGTTTCAAATTCTGAATTCAAACAAAACAAAACAAAACAAAAAAAACCCGATAGCAACAACAGTCTCCTCCTCCCTGGGGGATAGACTGGAATGATGGCTCACATTTCTCAGTAAAGCTGTCTAGTTTTTAATGCTCATTAAAATCTAGGGGTAGAGCCTCAGTTAGGTGCTGATCTGTCGTTAACACGTTTCTTTGAAAGGCATAAATCTTTCCTATGTTAAGAAAGGGGTGCAGAACCCAGGGCCACCTATGGGGAGCACAGGGCTGAGGAGGACCTGCTGGAGCTCACAGACATCAAACCACAAGTTAGAGAAACTTAATAGATTCTTTAAAAAAAATTAAAATAACAATTCTTTAAAGCAATCTAACTCAAACGTTTAACTCATTTGTAAAGAGCCTTCATCTAATTGAATACATCTGTGATCTATGTCTGGCACTGTCATCTAGGCATAAGTCAAGGCAAGTGATGGAATCCACCCTATTTTTAAAAGATCTCCAGGGAAAAAGACTTCTTAAAAACTTGTGTTAAAGTCTAATCATCTGGTTATTATGAATTTTTCATGTCCAATCTAATTTTTTCCTTTTTATCCTTTAAGACTATTTCTTCCTTTTTGGTCTTTAAAAATAAAAAATAGGAAGGTCTGCTTCTTAAATTATAGGTGAAAAGTTATCATGTCATCCTTTACTGTTTATGCCTCTAGGCAAAATAATCTCAATTCCCTCTTGTGCCTGACTTGATGTGTACCAAAAAGCAGACGTCGCTGTCAACCAGTGTTGCTAGGTGTGGCATGACATGGCAGCTCTGGGTGTGAGACCACGAAACCTTGTCTTCAGACCAACAGCCAGGCTGACAATGGAAGCTGCTGGCACTGCCTGTGACAGGCCTATGGCATTCTTCCAGGCCGACGGGCACGGGACTTCTCCAGGGGGCCTTCCTCCACCCATGTCTATGGGATACCATGCCTTCAGGCACGCTGTGCGCTTGTCATCTTCCTTAGAAAGGAATGCTATCTTATTGAGTGGGTTGGGTTTGCAAGTCCAAATAAACCACAAATCAAAAACTGCATCTACTCAAAATTATCCTGAAAAAAATTCTCCCTTGTCCAACTCAATCAGTTGTTTCTTAAGCAATGCTTTTGGCTAGAATTAGCACTCTAAGATAAAAAGACTAGGTTATCTCAAACCAAACAGACTCTTATTGGCAGTGAGGAGGTCAATGATTAAAATTAAATCATTGGCTTTTAATATTTAAGTCTGGCTTTGTTCAGTAGACTTTTCTTTTCATTCAAAATAGGACCCAGGCATGAAATGGTTGGAAACCAAAAACTAGCACATAACAGGGAGACCAAAAATGGAATATGGTATTTTAACTAAAACTATCTAATACATCCCAGCATGTCATTTCATATATGTTAAGTGAGCAGTACAAGTTTGCTGAATGCCTGAATGGATGACTTTACCAATGATGAGAAGGGCTGTGCAGAATGGTTTACTGAGCTAAATTAGAGCAGAGAAGAACCGAAGTGGTGGCATACGGCTTCATCCCTGGAAAAGAACTCTGGCTGGCTCCAGGGTCCAAAGCCTTTCTCATCAACATTCTCCAGGTATTTAACGAGGACCTACTGTGTGCCAGTAAGGTTCTTCCACGGCCTTCTGGACACATGATCTTGCAACTGCCACCACACTGGACACAGTACAATGAAGTGGTTTGTCTAATCCCTTGCCAGATGTGAACTTTTGAGAACAGAGGACATATTTTATCCAAGGCACTATCCTCAGTTCCAAGGACAGTGCATGGCACAGGCAAGTGCTTACTACTACTTGAATGAATGAAGATCAGAGCACGCAACATCTCATCCTAAAAGACCATTTAACAAAATTTCCTCCCGCATACTCCATTCACTCCTCTCTTTCGGGGTCACTCATCCAAAGATCAGACAATCCCTGGGACTAGGATAATTCTCAAGTTGTTGCCATTAACTCACCTTTTGGAACCTTCCTTGACACCTAGACTTTTTGCCCCAGAAAAGAATCTCTCTCGAATGTGGCTGTCTCCATAGCAGGTCCAAATTCTTAGCCAGTTCTTTCATGAAATGTTTTCTAGCTTGGCCAAAGCCCTTATTTTCAAGAGATATCCTTCCCCAGTATTACTGAATCTCATACCCGGATACCTCTTCGGGAATTCCCTACCAAGGAGATACACCCTGAGGGCCCATGACAAGAGGCAGCCAGAGACAGGCTAGTTGCACATATAGGAACCCGGTAATTTTTCTGTTGTTAGCAGCTTGGCATGTCTACCTCCTGTCCATTAGCCACAATGACTCAGCTTCCCTGAGTCACTGCCCAGCCACCAGCACTATGCGACTACCCCAAATACAAAGCCTTGGGTAGCTGGGTACAGGCAGCTTTTCCCAGAGCCCCACATGTTCAAAGCATAATAACTAAGCTACATTGGCTACCCTATTAATCATGTAGACTCCAAGGGAATAGGATTAAAATACCATCTGGATAGACTCCAGTTATACAGTCAGCGAGGAGCAAGACAACACCACAAACACAAGGTTAGAGGGAAGCAAATGATTGGGAGACAGCCTTTAGCCACCAGGAAAAACCCCAAAGTGAAAAAGAAAGTAACAGCAGTGGTACAAAGAGGCACATGATTTTCCTTTAATTACCTTCAGATTTAGGACTAGGAGTAGATGCAGGAAACTGGTAGGTAGGAGTGTAAGGATTGCCCTCTGCAGCAGAAAAAAGCAGTGGATTTTGAAACTATCCACCATGAAGTGGTGGAACTGACAAATCCCCAACTGACTCTTTCGAATTGTTGATTACCTATTTTAGTGTTATTAAAGCACACGGGCATCACACTTAAAAATAGATTAATGAATTAGAAAGGACTTAGTTATTTTAATATAGCACGTCATGCAAATGAGTGAAATTAAATGTTCACCAACCAAAGACGACTATAAAAACAAAATCTAAAAGCCAAATCATATTCCTATAATGGAACTATAAGAATTAATTTAAGGCTAGGACAACAGATACACTGTCTAAGTTTATGGTACCTTCAGAATTTTGCTGGATTTCAGGAAGTTCAGGGAATTTGTACGTAGGGAAATAAGGGTTTTCTTCAGGAGTGTCTAGGCAGAGGAGCAGGTTTGGGAGAGAGAATAGAGGAAGATACAAATGGAGAGAATGAACGAACAGGAATCCACACACAATTTAGGCTCCTTGAATTCTGGATCATACTAAGCTTCACTGGTGACATGAAAGAAATTCAAACTGCTTCAAAAAATCCAGTCCTTTTGCCTGAATTACTGAGACACATCTAAAGAGACAATATCACTTCTCTTCCAGGACAAAGAATTACATATATACAGGCTCCGAGAAGCAAGAGGCATTTAGCATAAAACTTTAAGTTTTTACTTTTTATAGGCAAAAAATATTAAGTATGCTAATAAGTAGTATGTAATGAAAACACTATCATAAAATGATTTTTAAATCAAAACTTGGCATTAGCATCAAAGCAAACAAGAAGATTCTTAATTTTTCAAATACCTCCCTACCATTAAAGGAGGTAGTTTTGTTTAGAACCTGCAATTTAGGCTGAGTTAACAGCTTCAACATGAGACGACCAATGCTGCCTGCGGGGCAAAATTATATATTTTTCACATATGCAGGGTGTCTTGGCATCTGGGCTGCCAAAGCTGGGTCTAAAGGCGAGAGAGACACAGATTGTTGGAAGAAATGGACATTGGCTTTAGGAAGGGACCAGAGGAACTGATGCCATCCAGTCAGAGACCCAGCATTTAGCATCACCACTATGACTGAGCTCCTTTACCCCGTCGTAGTGGATTTACTCTTGGCTCAGAAATGCTAAACACAGAGCATCTCAATATTTAGAAACAGTTTGAGGAGGAGCACAGCCAGGTTCACTTTGAACACTGCAAGAGCTAATTAACAGTGATGTTAGCTGCCATCCACAGCTAATCAGAGAGATTGGGTTTTAGTGGCTTAGGTCACACTGACCAGAATGCTTTTTCTTTGCCTTCATGTGTCATCCGTGCCAGGCGGCCAGACTGGATTTGGCCACAGGGAAGGACAGGATGCTCTGCCCTGGGGAGGAGTGGTACCCTTCCCATGGTGCAGCTGCACCCCTGCCTATCAGCTGACTGGTGGCACAAGCGGATGGGAGCTGGTGGAGTCGTGACCTGCCGGAGCACTGTCCTGGCATTCTCCCACCGTGCTGGGTCACCTGCTGACAGCCCAGGGGGCCCTGATTTGGAAGCGCTTCTCTCCCAGCTTGAACTGGCTTTGGTGTGTCAGCTCTTGACTGACTCTCAGGACTACCTGGCAAGTGCTGGTTCCCGGCTGGGGAAGATTATTTTTCACATTAACACCGCCTTATAGTTGCACCATGGCATTCTACTTCACAAGGCAGATTTTCTCTCATTTGGACCCTGCAACTTCCCTCGGAGGAAAGGAAGTGGGACAAACACAGAGAGGTACATGATTGGCCCAAGGTCACATGAATACTTGATCCCCAAGGTGAGAAAAGTTTTTAACTCCCATTTTAGTGCCTTCTCCACTCACTCTGCCTACAAGGCAGTCATGGGCTGACATGGGGAGATGCACCTAAAGCCAAAAGCAGGTGGGAGCTGGAGCTGCTCGCATCCTAGGCAGGCAGATGCTGAAGCACAGGCAGAGTGCGGGGCTCAGCCTGCTGCATCCCACAACATCTGGGAGGGAAGACTTGAGAGCTGACCTCAAATCCCACAGGTGAGGCAGGCACACAAGTGCTCCCTCCCTCCTCTGCTCTGAAGTTGTATGGCTGGGCTCAGGCAGGCCAGTGCCCAATGAGGTCAAGCCACAGGGCCAAGTCTTCTGGAATCCTAGCGAAGTAAGTTTAGGCCCTCACCACAACAGTCAACAAATGGGCATAGCACAGCTTCTACAAAGGAAAATCAGTACCTCTGTTTAGTTTGTGGATCTGTTTAAACATGGTCTTGTACCAGTCTTTTGATCTCTCGGTATTCTGGAGAAAAACAAAAGCAAAGATTAAAATAAAATGCAAGTCCTGGTACGTTTCAGAACTTCTATGATTACAAAATCAAATGGAAAGTGACAACATCTGAAGTCAAAACTCACATAACTCTAAACATCTTTGCAATCCCATTTTTAAAATGCAAAACTCTTGGGAAAGAACAAACCAAGAGATTCAGATCTGAATCTGCAGAGAAATATTTGGCCAAAAGGATGCAGATTTTGAAAATAGTGGACAAGGATCCACTTGAAATGTGTCCCTTCTTATATAATTTTTTAAAATTTCATTTTTAGAGAGAATCTCTCTCCATATATAGATGACTAAATTGAAGTAAAGCCTTCTAGAAACATAAGAGACAAAGAACATTTGCGCATTAGACCGTGCCCCACCAATGTCAGGTTATTCCGTAGAAGTGTATCTAAGTCACCTTGCATAGGGCCAGATTTAGAATACACACATTAAAACATAACCCATTACAGCAGACAATGCCAGAGAGTTTTCATCCCAACCACAAAGCTGGGCTGTTATTGTTTGTTTTCTTAAGATAAAAATAAAACAAAGAAGGGGATAGACAAGTGGTTAGATCAGATAGTCTCACTCCTTTATAGATGAGGAAATGAGATACATAAAGTCAAAGTCACCAACGTCTCAGAGCTGGTGAGGTGAGTGGGAGGGCCGCCTAACATGATGGTTATGGGTAATGGTTTGGGAGTCAGACAGCTCTGTCACCCACAAGTTGTAATCCCTCTGAGTCCCTGTTTTCTCATCTATAAAATGGGAATGGTATTAGTATCCACCTTGTAGAGTGAATGATATTTAAAGGAGATAATGCACTCAGCAAATGGTAGCTGTGATTACTATTAGTAATAATTCTCTTTCTAGTTATTATTATTATTATTATTATATCCTTACTATTACTTAGGATCAGACAACAGCTCTTTTGAGGCTGAGCCCGCTGCTGTTTCTATTGGCCTCCTCAAAAGGGACACAAAAACCAGTCCACTTGCCAAGTCCTATTGCCAAGTACAATATGGAAACATATCGCAGCCAGTGTTCTGGTGGGCACATGGAGAGAAATAGCACTCACTCTAATCCAGTTTCAAAAGTCAGGCTTCCCTGGAATTCCTTAGGGCCTGCAGGAGGCTGGCACGCCTGTCTAGTGGCGGAGAGCTGGGCCAGGGCTGCAGCGAGATTGCTCTGGTCTGGAAGCCTCAGCAGGCTGAATCTATTCTGTGGTTCCCTTAGAGCTTCCTACTCACTCTGGATGATGGGCTATCTCCTACCCAGGGGAACTTCTTCCTGAATCCATAAACAGGGACCCTGAGCCCTGCACACTCCCCAGGGTTCTCTAACCCCGGACTAACAATTTCCAAGCGTGCTCCATGAAATGATCATGAAGGATATTGGAAACAGTGCCCACATCATTCTCCCCTTGAATACGCACATGCCCAAAGCCTCTCAGCTCTGTTGCAGGGAAACCTCTCCCCCTTTGTTCCACCCAGCTCTTCCCCACATTCATTTGACCACAAATCTCTTTTTTTCACGGGACTTGGTGACACCTGACATGTGCTTTGGGAAAAGCTGCTGCACACTGAGCCAGGACCAAGGTGGCCTCGGGAGGCTGGAGCACAGCTCCTGGAGGCTCTGCAGCTCTCAGCAAGCTCGGAGAGTGGACAGGGGTAAGGACCCTCCTCACGAGGCCTTTATAACCCATGGGTGGGATCCACATGCACTCAGGGTATACACTTGTCACTGGCTTAAGAGGAAGCCTAGGAAGGACGTCTGGGTCAATGTTCATACCCGGAGTGGGATGCCTACTTCATCCATGGAAACATCGCTTAGGTCCTGAGCGCTCTTAACCACCCGCCAACTGTCATCCTTTGCCTTTTTTTCAGCAGCCCTGTCAGGTGAGGTGGGTTTTTCCTGGGTTGGTGCTGAGGCCTGCTCTCCCACTCTTCTGTCTGAGACGGGATCTGGAAGGGAAAAACAGTCATCAGCTGAAGCTCTTCCGGTGGCTCCAAAGCAAAAACTCCCAAATGATCCAGCTTGGAGAAAGTGTGTTTGCTAATTCTCAACTGGAACGAGTTTCATTTGGAGCAGGGGTCAGCAAACTAAGGCCCAGCCACCTGTTTTTATAAATAAATTTTTATTGGAACACAGTCAAGCCCATTCATTTATATATTATTTATGGCTGCTTTCAAGCTACAGCGGCAGAGCTGCGTAGCTGTGACAGAAACTGTATGGTGTGCGAAGCCTAAAATATTTACCATCTGGCCCTTTAAAAAGCGTGGTAAGTGCCCTGCAGAGGTATGCACTTGGTGCTCCAGACACCCAAATGGTTCTGACAGTTCTAGAAATTCAGGGAACAGGTAAAACCACTAGGAGGTGGCCAAACATTATTTACTTGAAAGTTCTTTTTTCATCTTGGAGAAGTCACGTAACTTTTCTGTGCCTCCATTTTCTCATCCAAAAATGGGGCTAACACTTCCATTGGCAAGCTCGCAGCGATGCTGAGGACTTAACAAGATAATTTATGCCCAGGTGCTCAGAAAACTGTAAATTGCTAAGTGCACATTAGAGTTTATTTGATTCAGGAGTGGAGGTTACAGAGCACTAAAAAACACACCCTGTGTGGTCTACAGATTGTAAAATTACTTAATATAATCGGTTATTCCGAGCCACGTCCTTTACTTATAGGAAGGTATTTACTAAGCACCTGCCAGGTGCTACACATTCACATGCCCTGTGGACACGGGGGTGAACCTTTCTGAGCACCAGCCTCCAAGGAGCTTAAGGTCTAGTAGGTAGAAAGAGCAAGAGAGGCACCAATGAGAATGCAGGGTGACCAGGGCTGACAGAGGAGTCAGCATCCAACTTAGCTGGTTCAGGGCCGACCTCTCAGAGGAGTGAACCAGACAAACATGAAGTGAAAGGTGCTCCTGGCAGAGGGAACAGCATAATCAAATGCAAAGGGGCCTTGGAAATACTCTGAGTTTACGATGTGCCAGGCATTATGGTAAACTCTTCATATACATGATCTCAGTTCATCCTCCCAACAACCTTTTGAGGAAGAAACTACTACCACTCCTCCATTGTTTTTAAACAGTTAAGGGGACCAAAGCACAGAGAAGTTAGAGTACCCTGCCTGAGGTCACACAGCCAGCTTGTGGTCAAGCTGGGATTTGGCCTAGTGTCTACCTGACTCCAGCAGTCCTCTCTGAACCATCTCCTGTCTTGCTTCCCTCAAAAATGGCACCAGTTCTTGAGCCTGGGATCCTGGCCTGATCTAAACAGAGAAGTTAGGAAAGGGAACTGGGTTGGGGAAGGCAGGGAGAGATGGCCACTTCCATGTAGACATGGTAACACTTTGAGAAGACGGCAAGATGTTCAGGTGGAAATGCCCTAGAGGTCCCTAGAAGAAATATGGGAGAGGGGTCAAGGTGAGATGCCCTGGTGGAGTGCCATTTTGGAGGCATTGGCACAGAAGTGATGGCTGAAGTCAAGGAGATGGAAAAGCTCAATGGAGAAGGTGAGTGAGAGCAGAGCCTAGCGCTGAAGCTGGGCACTGAAGAATGTCACAGTTACAGGCTGAAAAGCAAAAAAGGACCCCCCAAAGGATGCAGACCCTCATTGGAGGGACAGGAGATGAAGCAGAAAGGTACAGCAAGGTGTCATTGAAGGCAGAGAAGACAGAATTCCAGGAAGTGGGTGGTTAAACGTGTCAAATAAATAAATAAATAAATTGAAGCAGAGGAGGAGGCATTAGATTAGGCATAAGAAGAGTCACAGGATTGCTCTGAGGCAGCAAATTTCAGGAGGGCAGTGGAGTAAATGCCAGATTGCGGAAAGGGATGAATGTGTGAGCAAGGAATGGGGCAGTAAGTAGGGATGGAGGTCATCACGGAAGGAAGAAGGTGTCAGATGGCAACCAGAGAGGTCAAAAGATTAGGGGGCAAAAAAGTTTAAGCCAGGAGGGTCTAAAGTCCTATCAGGGAAGCCCATGAGGTGAGACTGAAGGGGATGCGGATGTGCCCTGGCAATTAGTATGTGCTCACTAAGTACCCACTCGCTGATTGATGGAGAGGTTCTCATCTTTGAGAAAGGAAAAGGTGCAGAGTGCTGGCTAGAGGACTAAACTTTGGCAAAAAGGAGGGACCCGAGGGCACATGCAAAGTTGTGCCAAAGTCAGAGATGGCTGTATGTGGAGGAGAAGTTGGGGAAATGGGGAAACACTGGACTTTACGACTTCACAGTATGCTCAATGGAGCCACTCTGCCTGGATTGCAAACTAACTTCTGAAATGAGGTCTCATTCTGTGACCACAGAATGATTTCTAAACATTCTGCGAGACTCAGCTTAGCAAGCACTTCAGAAAACCTGATCCCTGGTATAGTCACCATTAGCTTTAAAGGATGTTAAGAGCAGACTGGCTTTATGGGATGAGTTCTCATGCTCCCAGGAAATTCCAACAGGAGGCCAAGGATTTGGCAGGAAGCCTGGAAGTGCAGGGGATATCAAGTTACCAGAGTCTACCCTTAATATGCCTCTGCTGAGCATTCTCCTCCCACCTGGAAAGGCCTTCCCTAAGTGTGATCAAGAAGCAGCAGGTGAGGTTGATTTCAAGCTCTGTCCAACCTGGTGCTTGGAGGCGTTCATGCTCTTCACTCTTGAACATCATCTCTTAAGATCACAGATACGCCATTCTCAGGGTTTTCAGACCAAGAGAAATTTTTTTTAAATGTTTAGGATAGGTGGCTGTAACAACAATCACTTAACTGCAAAACTCAAGCTGCGAGTCTATGGATTTGTTCCAAAGCTGCCAGAGTCCTTTGATCTACAAAAATTAGTCCTGAATTATGTTACTTTAGAAGCTTGTGATCATGCGATTCATGACTGAGTAGATTTCAATATAAAGAGGGCTGAATTGCAGCCCCTGAAGAAAAAAATGTTTCTTTATATAGTGAAGACCCAAAGTGACACGTCATTGTCCACATAGGTGACAGGGTTGCCCTTTGACATCTGTGTTACAATGAGGGCTTGCTGCTATTTCTCACCAGGCAAACACTGATCCCTCACACAACATCCTGGAGCACTTCCTTCTAATCTTACGCTGTGCTTTAAAAAGGAAGGACCTGGAAAGGGCCCCTAAATAAATGATGCTGCTGACAGGCCTCTGTGTTTGTGGGAGGTGAGAAAGCTTCCCTCTTCTTCACTCCCAAAGCTCTGTGCTGAGGAATACAGCAATGCTTACACTTCTCGGGGAAGGCAGGCATGGCCTCTCTATATCCTATGCCAGCCCCTCCATCCCAACCTTTATCTTGTTTTCCTCTGTCCACCCAAGAGGACCATGAGCTTCAGGAGGCCAAACACCATGTGGGTCATGTTCTTAGATGAATCTCACTGAGTGTGAAGTCCCATAGAGGCTCAATAAAAATCCACTAGAGGGAGGGAGGCTGGTGGCCCCCTTCCAGGTCCCATCACCACGGATACGATGGGCAAAGCCTCACTTACTTCAGGGCACAGGCTGGAGTATCAGCCAGCCAGCCCTCTCTCCTGCAGGAGCTTCTGATTAAAATGATCCTGCTTCTTTTTAAACAAAAACTAATATTTAGTGAGCACTTACTTTATGTCCCACTCTGTCAACCACCATGACTGGATCTGTCCCAAAACTCAAGGAGGACAGAAGCATTAGGCTTATTTTAGAGCCCAGGAAGTGGCCTGAGCCTGCCAGCTTGGTGGAGAAGCCGTGACATTTACATAGCACTTTCCAGCATGCAAAGCATACTCCCCTTTCCTGTCGCACATGATTCTTACAACACCTCTTTGGTGTTGGGGCAAGGATTATCATCCCCATTTCCCACAGGAGGAAACTGGCTCAGAGAGGTGAAGTCACTTACCCAGGGACAAACAGCTACAAGAGAGAATAGCCAGACCAAACTCGGGGTCTCCTAACCTGGTTGGGTGCCTTTTTCATCTATTCCACTGCTCCTTTCCAAATCTCAAAGGCAGGAAGGAGCTACCATTTTTTTTCAGAGCCACCCTGTTTTCAGCAACTGGGGTTGGGGCCAGGGAGTGAAGTGAGCTGGAGTGTGGCAGCACCAGGAGCAGGCAGCAAAGGGCACCTTGTGCTCAACCACAGCCTGTCCTGGTCCTATGGCCAAGTCCTGATAAAGCTGAGAGCGTGTGAGAACCCCATGTCCTCCCAGCCAGGCTCTCCATGAATCACAAGGGCAGCAGTATGATGAAGCAACACAGAAATCATGGAAGCAGCTGCTCAGAAAATGGTGGCTCTTGTTACCCACCAGATCAGGGGTCCTTAGCCCTGGAGTTCACGAGTATCTGCAAATCCACCAGGTACATACGTTTGCACACCTGTGGCATTTTCTAGAGAATGAACCTACTGCCTTTATTAGATTGTCCGAATGAGTTTGTGCCCAAAAAAGGTTACAAACCATCACATCACACCATGAGCTGCTCGAGGGTGGCTCAGTCCCCTGATAGAGCCCCAGAGCCTGGCTCAGTGCCTGACACAAAGTAGGCACTCAGTAAAATGACAAGTGAATTAATGGAGGCTCCTACTGATAACAGCAACTCACATCTATCAAGCACTCAGTGAGTGCGAATGCTCAGTGCCAAGCCGTACAAGCAGAACCTATGAGGCAGTAAGGCAGCCCCCATCTGACAGGTAAGAAAACTCATCTGTAGTTTAGATCATTGGTAACCTGCCTAAGGTTGCACCATTAGTAAGTGGTGGAACCAGAATTTAAAGCAGAATGGCTACATAAGGAAATGGCTCAACATTCCCATTCCTGGGTTTCCTCACGACTTTGGCCTATGTGTTTGTTCCCTCCCCACCCCGACTTATCCCAATCCTGTGCACTTTATCAGGGAATGAGCCTGGATATCTGCTTATATCTGCAGTCACCTCCCACCACCGTTGGTTCTTGATGAAACTTGCTGCTCAAAGTGTGGTCAGAACAGAAGCAGCATCCGCATCATCAGGGAACTGGTTAGAAATGCAAATTCTCGCGCATACCCATTAAATCTGATCTCTGGAACTGTGGCCTGGGAATCTGGGTCCTGACCAGCTCCCCAGGAGATTCTGATGCCTGCTCAAGCTCAAGAAGTAGGCCTTTCACACCCTCTTCTAGCTCTCACCTGGGTCCATCATCCCGGGGTCACTTGCTAGCATTTGGGGTTGTCACTCAAAAAGAAAAGAACTTGCCCACATTTCCCAACCCTGACTTGTCACATCCTAGAAGAGAGATAGAAGCAACAGAAAGGTGACTTCTTCAGCGAGGCCTGCCATGAACACTCCATCTAAAGCACAACTCTTTGTTCTTTTGATTCAGAATATCCTGTTTTTTCCATCACGGCACTTATCACAGTTCCACAGGACATGTTTACTAGTTTGGGTCACTTGTCTGGTCTGCCCCCAGCAGCCTGCAAGCTGCAGGGAGGCAGGAATCATGCCTGTTTTCATCATCTTTGGAGTCCAGCAACAAACAGGCCCCAACATATCAGAGGAGCTCATAAGGCTTTGCTGATCGAACACCAGGTGGTAACCAGAAGATGGCTTTAACAGCAACAGGAGTTAACGTGTAAATAAATATTTCTCACCTACCTGAAAGGCTACTGAGTCGTTTCTGCTGTTCTGTGATAAGAGAAAACATATACAGTGTAAGTGAGATTTACACAGACGTGGTAAGACCAGGAAGTCCTGGCATAACTTGTTAGGGCCCCAAAATCTGCATCCTCACTGTCTTCTGGACTTAGATGCTGTGTAGACCAGCTGAATGCAAAGGTATTAATAAGGCTCCCATTATCCAAATGTAGTGTCTCCTTTCCCCCTCCCCCTAGATCCACACCAGGATTCAGAGAACTGTCACTGTTTTCTAATTGTTCACATCTTGTCTCAGGAAAGATGATGTGATCACTGAAAGAGACCCTCCCAACTCCCCTGGTTCCAAGTGAGCAAGACCTTATATGACCCCAGTCTTGGTACCTTTTGAGGGAAATATAATTATAATCATAACTATGGCAGCTACCATCTCCTGAGAGCTTGCTAAATGCCAGACGTTGTTTTAAGAGCTTTCACATGTGTTAACACTTGCAGTCTTCGCAACTCTAGCAGGTAGGTCGGCACTGGCTGAGAGACCGCAGATAAGAGGCACAAACTACCCAAGATGACACTGAACAGAGCTAAGTCTAGAACCTGGGTTCCCCAACTCCTAGTCTAGGGTTCTTTCCAACTCTAACCACCAGGCCCTCACTGTTTCTTAACATCGAAGGTCTATGGATTTCTCACTCTCCTGGGTGCTTGCGAGGAAAGGAGGCCAACATCTCCTTTGGAGAGTTGTGTGTGTACGTGCTATGGGATAAACACAAAAATGACCTTTACCTTCCACAGCTGCTAAATATAAAGCATCCACATAGATAAAAATAGAACGCTTGCCAGCCCATGGGTGCTGTCATCATCCCCCTTGGCCATGTCCCCGCCCTCCCTCCAGAATCAGTGTGGGCAAGAAGTAAACAGAGCAGCAGGGGCACTCACAGCTGGTGGAAGTGGCCCTGTCCACCTCTGGTACGTGGACGAGGCTCACACTGGACAACAGAAGCCCAGCAGGCTCAGCTCTGCCAGCAACTTGTTAGATGACACTGATCAATCACATAAACTCTCAGCTTCAGTTTCCTCGTCTGTTAAATCAAAGTGCTCACTGGATCTATGGTTCCCAAACTCTGATCTGCAAGCCGGAGGCCAGGCCTTCTCCAGCAGGCAAAAGCAAATTTATTCAATTTAGAAGACTATATTGTTCCCACTTCTGAGGTGTGAAATGGTTGGTCTTTCAGAAAATGGCATGTGATATAGATAATAGCAATTGTTTTTCAGGGGTGTTATTTAGCAAAGTTAGAAATGAGCAACCCTAGGGCAGTCCCCAGACCGTTTGTGACCATGAGATCCAGAAGTCTGGGAACCACCGAGCTCTTGCTCTCCAAAGGGGTCCATGGACCGGCGGCACCAACACGCCATGCAAGTTGCTGAAAAATGCAGACTCTCAGCCCCTCTCCCAACCTCCTGAATCTGAAGACTCCCACAACTCGATGCACATTAAAGACTGAGAAGCTCTGAGCTCAGGGACCCATGCACCTTTTTCAGTCCCGAGAGTTCTCTGATTCAAATCCTCCTTCCCAGACTGATCATAAGCAATCTGCCCTCAGACACGTGTTGGATGAAAAGCTCAGGAGTGTGTGTGCACGACCGTCAGAGCCAGGCCAGATGCACAGTGCCCCTCTGATTGCTTGCAGGAGGGGGAGCTGACTTGGAGAGACAGGGTTATCATGACACTGTGCCCTCGGACAGTCTAGGCAGGAAAAAAAGGGAATCTTTTCTAAGATAACTAAACTAGAATCCCAAAAGTGGAGTAAAGGTATCATTCTCTCAAGAGACTTTGCAGTAATTAAGAAATTGTTTTTACAGGTACCATCTATGAGGCAGGGCAGAGCTGCCAGGCTGGGCAAATTCCAAAGCAAAGCCAAAAACACTTGACCTAAAGCCCGCTAACGATTAGTAATCCAGGCTGGGCCGGCTGGCGCGTCCATTCTCCTCAACTCTTCCTGCCCCACCTCCTTAAGGAACATATGGTTTGCTCTTTATGGGAAGCTGCTTTTAATTCCAAAAAACTAATGTACTTGTATCCTTTTCTGAAGGATGTGTGATTCAGGCTGCACAATTCTGATTTTTAAGCCCAAGGGCAAGACTTTGACAAAAGAAAAAGGCAAGAACCAAAGGCATTTGGAAAAATAAGAAGAATCCATTTGTTCAGGAAAGAAACAAAAAGGAACTACAGGCATTTCTGTGCCCAAAGATGTCTCAGTAGGTGTCATCAGAGGGACTTGGTAGAAGCAGCTGACATCACACTTGGCATTTCCCAAAAAACCAAGTTTCCTTGGGAATAAATCCCATTTTTAAAGAAATTGACTTTCTTTCTGGGAAGTAACTTGCTTCTGTTTGACTGGATTTTTTAAAAAAAGTGAGTCACAAAGAAGTTCATAGAGAACCAAAATTTCACTTTGTCCTGCATTACAGACACTTTCTGGGCAGAGAAAGCCACTGCCAGGAAAGGGTACAGTGCTGCTGAGAGGGGCATAGGCTCTGACACAGCTCAGTGTTGGGGTTGGGACCCTTTCTATCTTTTGAAGAACAAAGGTTCATGGGTAAAAATTAATATGGGAGCCACACATATGAAAAAAATAAAACTGCAAAAACAACTATTTAAGATTTGAGTGGGAGGATTTTAAGTGAGAGAAAATGTTTCATTCATCTGCTTTTCAAGTTAGAAGCAGGAAACAGAAAAAATCCATTTAATATGGAAAACAATTAAAAATAGACTCCACTCCCATTTTCATCCAAGTCAATGCAGAGAGAGGGGCAGGGGAAAAAAGTATGAATAGGCCATCATGGAGTCAAGAAAAGAAAGATTTGGTACCGAGCTTTGGGCTCTGAAAAAAATGATTAAACCTCCACGGTTCTTTGAAATTCAGACTAAAAAGACCTTTCTACACTAGGAAACCGTATGAAAACTTTGCATTTCACACTGCAAAGGACTTTTGTGAAGGGAAAGTTTATTCCTCTATGGAATTCCAAAAAGGAATACTTGGGATTTAGAATCATCTTCTGGAATTTTAAAGTAGAAGGGTCAACATATACAATTATTACCTCAAGGCATATGTATACCTACATATACGTTATTATCTTCACCTAAGATGCCCCTTCAGAGAAGGGGAAGAACCAACCAGAAGCAGTCAGAGAAACTATGGAAAACAAACACGAAAATCCTCAGCAAAGCTGTCTAGGGTCACGTAGCATAAGGGGCAAATAGCCACGTGATCAAGTCCCCAGAGGGTGCACTGAATGATAGCTGAGTGCAGTAACTACTGGCAAGAATGAAGGCCAGTGAGTCACTAAGAAAAAGTTCAGTAATCTCTATTTTAGAGTACAAAAACATGTTTTAAATTTTAGAAAACTTTCCATACACTATGTTTTCTCTTTTTAATTTTGGCACTCAAAATTCTGCTTTCTAGAAAATTCATGTCAAAGAACTAAATGATTTAGAACTAAACACCATACCTAGATTTTCCCAGCAAAGCTCTGAGGAGAATGCTCATGGTGAGGAATTAAGGAGCACAGACTTTTTCCTTTCTGTCTTCTTTCTTTCTGGCATTACCATCTGGAGAAAACTGTGGATCCCCAAGGTATGGAACATGCACCTCATCAGTTTACTTATGCAGACATCTGACATCATCCCAAGTCAGGTGCCTCTGTTTGCCTGCTGTATCTACTTTGTGGGTCATGGGAGGGAGTAAACTGGGGCAGAGGGCCTCAGGGAAGGATGGGATTTGTGAAAATTTCCTTGGAATGGCAGAATTCTTGCCCCAGATGTCACAGAATAGCTATGTTGATTCCAGTGTGCTGAGGGAGGGGTGCACTGTGGAGCTCCCTTACCTCGATTGTGTTGCAAGAGCACAATTGTAGGATTGACAATTGTTGTGGAGGGGTAGGCAGATGATGGCTTGCTAACAGGTGCAAAGGTTTGGGAATCAGTTCCAACATGGGACGAAGAAACTTCATTTAGTAGAGGACTCAAAGCCTGAAAAGAAAACAAACACAGTAACTAACTGTAAAAATATGAAACCTAGAGTTAATGCTTTTTAAAAAGAAGAAATTTAAAGCTTTACAAGGACCTGAATTATAAAAAGAAATGTAATCAATGAGACATATCATTAAATCCAGTTAGAAGTTTAATCTGGAATGCTTATTCTCTTTGTGGGTATTAGTAAGGGGAGAGAGGGAAGGTGAATGTTACTGCAAGTCTCAGCAACATCATTCATTATTTTCATCTGGTAATAATTGTGATCAATCTGGTTACTGAAAAAGCAAATTCAAACCAAAGTAGAATAACATGCAAAACTCATGCAATTCCAAATGCGATCCAAGAATGAGAGCTGGTTTAACTGGGAAAAATCAGGAAAGTTTAGTACACTTGTTTAAGAAACATGAGACAATGTGAGGACAAGAAGCCATCAACGTAAGAATAGGCAAGAGTTAAATATTGGTACTGTTGGAAAGTAACTCCTATCATCTACATCACTGAACAACCTCACTAGCACTTGCTTCTGAGATGTAGATACTATCCTGTCCTACTGTGACACTTTTTCACTCCAATATTGAGTGACAAAGATCTTTGAAGTAAAAACTTGTGAAAATCCCAACTTCAAAAAGCTTAGGTCTCTGCCAGCAATACCAAAAATATTATTACCACTAACATTATAATCTGGATGATGAGAATAAAGCTAGTCTTCTTAAAGACATAAAAATAAGACCTTGAAATGTAGTAAAGATATGTAAACAGTTTCCTCTATTATGACTATAAATTTTACAAAGCCAGAATGTCATTCTTACAGGGTCCGAAGAACCCTGGAGTTACTCTCCAGATAAAAATATGATTCAAAGCAATTAGTATGCTCCATCAGAGATCAACTGCTCTGTAAGCACCTATAGGACAAGGGCCATGCCTCTCTTCCTCCTTTCCCCCTGCACCCACCACAATGCTCTGTGGACAGCAGGTGCTCAGTAAATGCCACATAAATGCCAGGAGCCATCTACAGCAAAGGTGTTTCTGAACAACTTTTGTGGCAAGAGAACATGTGCCTCTCAAAAGAGAGGAAGTGATTGTCAGCACCCAGGACAGCTCCTGACACACAGTAGGGGCTTCCTAAAAACACTGGCTTGGTCAGTCTGACTCTTCTGAAAGTGCCCTAATGTCAAAGCTGCTATTTATGAGCAGCAGCCAAGTTTAGTGAATAAAACCTTTTCCCAAGACTCGAGGGGCACAATATCATCTTGTACAAAAGTGCCTCACCTCAATATTTTCACTTGTGAAGTGGAAAACAATTACACTCATCCTAATTTACCTCCAAAGTGATGTAACAAAGGTAAATGACGTATCAGTGAAAACGCTACCATAATGCGCCCAAGAAACACAAAAAAATCAGGCATACAGCTCTTTAAAGTATAAATGCCTAACATGACATATGGATGGATCATCTGAGTGCTAGGCATTTTACAAATTTTACTCTGTGGCACAAGTCTTATTTCTGGGACATCACACAAAAAAGGCTATTGACTAAAAGAAGCTGGATCAATTAACATGAATTTTCTTCTGCCCTTTTACTCTCAAATAGCTGCCGATGGAGCAGATATCAACTAGTAGCTTGGCCACCACCCATAAGGGATCCTGCTCTTCCTGACAGTTCTCATTCAGTGGAGAACCCAAGCAGTTTCCTTTTTCACCTTTCACTCTGTTACCCAGGGCCTAATCAGAAGTTATCAGGCCAACTGAAGTCTTCCTGGCAAGTCCGCACTACGCTGATCAGTCAGGTTTGAGAAATGGAGGACACTGTGTCCTGGCACACCTGAAACAAACTCAATATGAAAATCTAGATCTACACGAGTGATAAAGTATAAGGCACACAACAGACCTACTGTGCACCAAAAATAAGACTCGCTTTACAAGCTGCTCCAGAGAAACATTCTGTGCCAAAGGGAAGAATACCTGTAGTCTCCAAAACAACAGTGGCTTCTAAATTCACCTATAAGTTAAGTTAGGGTGAGGCAAGTGCATCCAGGAACAATCTAGCATTTTCCTCCAACAGGGCTGAGTTGCAAAGCTCAAAGCTAGGCTATCCAAGCCCCCGGGCCACATCTGGCCAGGTCCTTACCTAACTGCATTGGGCTGCATCTAGAGACTCGAGAAGAGGTCCCAGCCGAGGATGTAGCTGTTCTCAGCTTTGGTGTGCCTGATATCTGACTATAAATTCTCTTACAAGCCAAAAAACTGTTTCCTTCCTGCTTTCTGCCTGACTGGCTTCAGTTTCATGAGTCATTTGAGCCAGTTTTGTAGACATACCTCTTTACGCAAAGAGTTGTCAGTGAATGTTTATTTCCACCAGCCAATTGCACGACCCGCTAGATCACTATATCTCAAAATGTGGTCCACGGACCCTCAGCATCAGAATCCCCCAGGATGCGTGTTACCAAGTCCAAGTCCTAGGCCCCTCCCCAGACCCACTCAATCAGAAACTCTAGGAGTACAACCCGGAGCTGACAATTTCAGGGAGCTTGCCTGCCCCTCCGATGATCCCATATACCCAAAGCTTGAGCACCGATAACACTACTCAGATAAATCCTCTGAAAGCAGGGGCCGTTCCTTGTTCATGGTTGTACCCACAGAATCTAGCAGGATGTCTAGAACATGGTAGAAACTCAATGAGTAATTATTAAGTAGCCAGTTAGTTACTTATTTTTAGTCTAGCCCCAATTTGCTAAGGTAAGTCCTCAGTAACATAGCTCACATTTATTAGGCACTCTTTCTGTGCCAAGCACTATAATAGGACCTTTTACATACTCGGTCCCATTGCACCCCATAGCCCTGTGAGAAGATCCATGCATCCCCATTTTGTGACTCACACTGAGCTTCTTTCAGATTCTCTCAATTCCCAGGGCTCCAAGGAGAGAACAGACTGCATACTCTGACTCAGCTTTTTCTCTAAAGCACTTGGGCTTTCCCACCTCTGATGGGGACTCATCCCTCACAGGATGGGACCTGAGGTGTCAGGTACTTTAACTTCCCATGACCACTGGGGCACTGTTTTGCCACAAAGGCCCCTGGGAGACACCACTCAGGGGCCCCAGAAATTTTCTGCCTTTTGAGGAAACAGTCCTAACATTTGTACAAGGCTTTTATATCTATTTGTTCAATTAAACTCGACTGTTATTTTTCACCCAGTCTCTGCCACTGCTGTATATAAAAGAGAGTTTGTTTACTTGCTAAATCAACAAGAGCGAATCTTTTCCTCCCCTGGAATCTCCCTGCTGCCATTGGCTTTTCCACATAATTCTTCAGCTCTCAATATTACATCTGCTTGGCCTCTGAAGAGTATAACTAACCAAAGGAAAAGCCACAGAGATTTTCTCTGAGGGAAAACCAAGTTCTTTCAGGAAGATGTGCATTTCGAACAGGACATAGAGGAAGAAAGACTTGACAGACTTGTGAATAGCCACAAGAGTCCACGGACACACACGGGAGGCATGCACTCTAGTAGAAGCAAACATGGTCCCAGTCATGACACAAGCACAGTGGCAGCCAACACTTCCCTCAGAACTTAGTACTTCAGTGAGAAAGGGGTTTTTTACTGCCGGGAGCAGACATTCAGGAAAGCCATGAGGAAGGGATTCCAGCAAGCTTACGGTACTTGAAACAGCTCCCGTGAGGTCAGGCTCCGAGACTCTGCGGAGGCCCTCTGGTACCGGAGGGACCAGCGGAGGTGGTGGTGAGAAGGATGGTGGTGTCTGGCTAACGGGGGGTAAGGAGCCAGGAGCGCTGGCTGGCTGGCTGTGGTGGGCCCGCCTCTGCAGATGAGGGGGAATGAAATCATCTAGAGTCGGCAAGGTCAGAGGTGAGCCGGCAAGGGCGGTCGCCGGGATTGGGGGGCCAACTGGCCCCAGAGATGCTGGAGGTCTGGTAGTGCCTTCTTGCCCTCTGTCAGTATTAACCAGGTAGAGAGGGACAACTATTACCTCCGGCTGGGCTGGGCTGGAGGAAGTGGCATCCTGTAGGAAATAAGGGGGTCATTACATAAAGGGGTACAGCAGGGACGAAGGAATTCCATATTTAAACAGTTGAGAGTGGACGTGCAATGATGTACTCTGAGAAATATTTAATCAGTGCCCTTTCCTCGGAGTACATGAGACAGTCGGTGCTAGCCAGTTGGCCTCCTGACACTCTATGACACAGAGGGAACCCCATCCAAGTTTACTTTCCATCCATCTATTTTTGAATCCTTTTAACACTTTAGAGAGAGAAAAAGAGAGAACAACAGAACAGGCAGGCAGGCTGTGCTTAGCCCCAAAACTTCTTGCAGAGCCTGAAATCTTGGGAGTAAATACAATTTCTTTGGCACCTTGCTATAAAACAAACACTCCGTATCTCACCATATCATTAGTCTACAGATTCCACAATCTGGCATACTTACATATTTACAGAAAAGAGAGAGAGCAAGACACAGAGAGGACTGTGCTGAGATGTTTAGAGAGAAGAATTCGGGATTCAAGCTGCAGCAGTATTAATAAGGAAAGAGAAGGTAGGGCAGCCCAGAAAACAAACTAGCTGCTGGCATGAGTTTCAAAAGAGACGATGTAGAAGACAGACAAACATTCCTAATTCCTTGCCTTGGCTGGATAACACGGCTGCAAAAGGTAAGGTTCTTTTCTCTTCCGGTTTTCGGGATCAGAGGTAACCTGGGGGCCTAGGACAGGTGGTCTCACTGCGTCTGGGAACGAAGGCCGAGTGCCCGGGAAAGGACTCTCGCCATCTTTATGGATGTCAAAGAATAGCTTGGGAGGGTCAGGAGGAGGAACAGAGAGTGGCTTTTCCTTGCCGGCTGTGCGGGAGGCAATGCTGGGAGCTGGTGCTCGAGTGGCTGCAGCTTCCAAGGGAGTGCCTGTGGCTGGATCACGTGCAACACAAGAGGAGTTTTCCGATGCCACTGGGCAAATGTTATTGGATAAACAAGGTACATATAAGCTGCTGACCTTTTTATTCCCAACTGCCTCATGACGTGGGTTAGAGCTCACATTCTCACTATAAACTGTCCTGCTGGCTACATAGTGGTGCCGCGGCTGGGATGAAGCAATAGGGAATGTGGAACCCAGAAGCGAGGGCCCAGGACGCACCACACCTTTGGGAGCTGATCTGGCTGCCAGGGGGACAGAGACAGGCTGAGGTCGTGAGCGATTCTGCTGGCTGGGGGTGCTGGGTGGGACGTAAGGCTTTGGTGAGCGCCGGTAGAGGGAGTCCTTATAGGGACCACAGACGGTGGGGGGCTGCCATGCAAAGCGGTCCTCTTTAGGAAGAGGAGGGTGTGGGGGAAAGAGAATCTTTAGAATCATTTTCAAGACACAATATCAAAACAGGGAAAAAACAAAGAAAGAGGTGGGGAAATGGAAAGAAGGACGACCATTAGAAACAGCAGTGTAACATGATCTGAAGAAAAAAACAATTTTTGACATGTTTTTAAGCAAATCCTCAGCTTAGACTCCTCACCGAGTCTATATTTCTCTTCTAGGCAAAGCAGGGGACTGAATCACACTCACCTGGGGAGGCAGGCCAGACTCTCCTTTACATCCCAAGAAGGCTGATCTCAGCCCAAAAGAGGCCATGTGCTAAGTAAACGCTGACACCAATCCTTGGTTGACCTGCACCCTTTTTAGACCTGACTGAATAAGGGTGCCCAACAGCTAAATGCCAGTGGAAGAAGCCCCAGAGCCCCCAATTTTTCTCATATCTCCTTTCCTCAAAGATTTTTCTCTTTAAGCCTTTGGCTTTAAAAGTTCACTGAAACTCTTGAATGTCTTTCATTCTTTTCCCTTAGGAAACGCAGAATTGGAAGACTCATCCTTATTTGTGTTCACAGGAGACAGATGTCTTAATTGAAGCTCTGAGATTTAGCACTCAATTCCATAAGCATAACAAATTAAAGCTCACCAAGAAGAGAATGCTAAGGACTTAGAATCCACATGTGCTCTTTTCTCAGAGGAAACAATTTGATGGAACTAATTATTAGAAGGAAGACAGGCATGAGATTAAAAGCACGTAGTCTCCCATTTTTGATGCACACAGAACAAAGGCACCAGGCAATGAAGCACTTGATTGGCCTACTGGCTTGGATTGTGTCTGGTTTATCAAATTCCAGCCCCTTCCTCATTCCCACCCAGCCCACCAGCAGGCCCAGAGAATCCTAGAGCGGGGTGATAGGCTCAGGCTCCTGGCTTAAGCCCAAAGCTCTGGTTCCAGGTTCAGAGCTAGAAAGCTGTAATTCACATCTCATTCCCTTTCCCTCAACAGGGATCCTAGCTCCTCCTTGGGTCTCAGAGGGGCAGAGGGCAGGAAATGGGGTAAATCTCCAGGCTGATCCTCATTTCAATGAAAGCCATCTGTGAACCTGTGGCCGAATGGGGAATTAGACCATAAGATGAGGAAAATAAAGTTTATTTTCTTAGTTTATGGACTGAATATCTGTGTACCCCCAAATTTATATCTTAAGCCCCTAACCCCAAGTGATGGTATTTGGAGGTGGAGCCTTTGAGAGGTAATTTGGGTTAGATGAGGTCCTGAGGGTGGGGCCTCTATGATGGGATTAGTGTCCTTATAAGAAGAGGAAGAGAGATCACAGCTCTAACTTTTCACCATGTGAGGACAGAGTGAGAAGGCAGCTGTCTACACGCCAGGAAGAGAGCTCTCTCCAGGAAGTGAATTGGCTAGCACCTTGGTCTTGGACTTCCCAGCCTCCAGAACTGTGAGAAATTTCTGTTGTTTAAGCCACTCGTATTATGGCTTATTTTGTTGGAGCAGCCGAAGCTAAGACACCTAGACTTTCTTCATTGGCCCCTGTCTCCAAAGAAAGCCCAGTACTGGAAGAAAACCAGAACCTTCCTCCAAATTGCACAGGTGAGGTATGTTAGAGTTTGGTCAATATCTGGTAATGAGCTGTAACCAAAAACTAGGAGGGTGCAAGGATGGGGGTCTATTTTGGGGTTGGTTTTTTATTTTATTTTTATTTTGTGTGAAGTTCGGGTAGCAAGGAAAAGGGATGTTAGCAAGGATGAATAGGTGACAAATAAACAAGTTTTATGAGTCTGGTTTAGAGTACCAACCCAGAAATAGTAAATAACCTGTCCCTTAACAAACTCAGTTTTCAAGTTACAAATAACCTGGATGAAGAAGAAACTATTTGGGTATCCTAGGCTATCTCGATACCACGGGCACAGGGTGCCCATGATGGTGCCAGTAGAATGTGGCCACATGTACCAGCCAAAAATACAAATGAACAGCCCCTCTTCAGGGATCAGTAGCAGCAAACCTTCCAGATGTACTCACTTGGTTTCAGCGAACTTAGGCTGGAGGCTGGAGCATATTTACAGACTCAACGATGCTCTCTAGAAACAAAACACTCAAACTAGCACACGCTAAAAGGACTGTAGTGAGTTGATAATGGTTGTCAGGGAGGTAAGTAAAAGACAATTTTGAATTAGGCTCTGATTTACTTTTACTTTGAACTCGAGTGTCCCACATGTGATTCCTTCTTGTCCAAAGATAGAAATCGGTTTCGATGAGTTTTTAACTTAATTTGGCTGTGGCCATTTATGGTGCCAGGGCTGCATTACACCAGGCATGAGCCTTCCCAGGGCTTTGACCCTGTAGAGAGGAGGCTTCCCCAGAGTGTTGACAACGCACTCAGAGCCAAAGGCCTTCCCATCCTGGGGCTTCTTTTAGCCCTAAAGAAGGAAGGGGACAGGCAGTCACTTTACATGGAAGGAACTACTTTCTGCTTTATTGTAAACAATGTAGGAACCACACAGGCAGTTCGCATTCCTCCCCAGCTGGCCACTAATGAAATTCCGTTTCTCTTTTTAGAAGGTGGGGCAGCGAAAAAATGGGGCTGCTTGAAGAATTTTATATGTTCCTAGTTTATGCAGTTCTAGAAACTACCAATCCCCACCTCCACTGGGACTACCATGATGATGCTGTCAGTGAGAGGGAAGCCCTGGTTCTCTGTTACTGGGGGTGAGAAGAGCAGGGCAGAAGGTCTAGGCTGGCAGGAGGAAAGGCAGCCTATGGGAGCATCAGAAGAAAGGATTCCTCTCTGGTCCATGAGCTTCCTGGACCCCAACTCAGTCCTTCTGAGAAAATGCTAGGGCTGCAGGGGTCTGAGAGTTTTCTTCAGCTGAAACCAAGCCAGGGCAGGCCCCAGCCCAGTGACCTTGGCTTTGTCTAAGCCAGCGCATACTTATAGCTCTGGCAATAGCTATACAGACATTTTTGCATTCAAAAAACAGATCCAAGAAGTAATGGATGACCGAAAGGTTCTTGAAATTTGGATGGCCAATTTCACACTGAATATATAGAACAAAACCTCTATATCAGAATTTACCAGGTTCCCTTTAAGATGCCCCAGTAAAAGGAAAATTCTTGGATAGTGACAGATAAGAAAATATGCTATTCATAGGAGATATTACAGGATGTTCACCCTTATTATGAGGCTCACCCTTATAAACTCCTTGAGGGCAATGTTTAACACGGTGATCTGAACACAAGAAATGCTCAATAAAGCTGTGGTAAATAAATGTGTTTAAAAGGAATTTTTATTTACTTTGCATACTTTTAAAATGATCTCTTTAGAAGGGCTGTTTACGAAGGCAGAAGGAATTAGTGAGTTATCCTTTGTGCTAAGTCGCTGATAGTGGAAGAGGATGTGCTTCTACACTTGCCTTGATAATCAGCACTATGTCCTATCTGGATACAGCCAAATGCATCCTTTCTTGAGATGGCTGGGAAGAAGTGTGCCATAGGCAGCACACTAACACACTGGGAAAAGTCTTAGAAATGGGAAAACTATGGCAAGTCATTTACTGGACAACTGACCTCTCAAGTCCCCAAATCTAAGGAGGACTTCAGGAGGCCAGGCACACTCGCAGCTCCTGGGTCTGACCAGTGGGCCTAGATGCACACGACTGTACCTATGGAAGACGAGCTGTGGCAGGGGATGGAAGGCTTAGTGGTGCTGCTCAGCGCACAAGGCAGATGATTCAGCATCCACTTCTAAGCCCAGGAAGACAGGGGTCTGCAGAGAGGAAGGAAGACACCATCTGACACGGTTTCATTTCAGTAGTCAGCACAACTTTATGTGCTCAAGAGCCAGAGGATCATACAAGGTGGGGGTGGGAACCAGGAAGGCATGCAGAATCCCTGGGCTCCTCATGAGTTCCGGGAGCACCTTCACAGAAGGCAGGCACAGGGAAGTAGACCACACAAGGAACACATTTCTGCCACATATTTGAGCAGCACAGCTTCCTTCAAGAAAGGACTGCTTCATTCCACAGATGTGGCTTCTCTATGCAAAAATACTCTTCCCAGATTGCGTGAATTAAAACAGGGTCTATTCTTTTCATCAAACTGGCAAAGTAGCAACAGGGAGGGGAAGGAAGAAAGATCAGGAAAACAACCTAGGGGGATCCCTACTCCAATTGTACAACTTGGGGGGATTTTCTTTTGTAGGGTCGAGCTAGGTGGTTTAGGCTCTGCTGTACTGCCATTCTGACCTCTAGCCACCTGCTCCTGGGCCACTGGATTAGGGTCTGGCCACAGCTACCTGACAGAGAGATAAGGATAGAGTTGCTGGAACTCTTACAGCCCCAACTGCAGCAAATTAATGGAATAAACACAACAGGGCACTCTTCCCTTGAATGTTCTACTCTGCAGAGTTTTTAACAGGCTCAGAACTTTTTCCCACTTATTCAAAGCTAAACAGATTCCCTCTTTCAGAATATTGCCACACACATTGGAAACCTAGAAAACATCGGGCCTATATTTCCAATACCCTGGTACAGACCAACCTCATCCCATGCCTCTGCTTCCCTTGACCCCAACCTCTCCCTAACTCTGGTCCTCGCAGAGCTTTTCCAGAGTGGGCCAAAAGAGCAACTCTGAACCTAGTCCATCAACTAGCTGAGCAAGCTAAAAGTCACACGTTGAAGCTAAAAGACTCAGGAACAGGCACCACTCACCAGTCCCCACGCCGCCCGTGGGCACAGGCCTACCTGGGGCTTGTCGGAAGGAAGGTTGGGATGCACACTTCTGTAGCCCTTGGCAGCAAGTGAAGAGGGTTGGGCGTTTCCATTGGCATCAGCATTGGAAGAAAGCCTCCATTCATCTGAGACACAGAAAAAAGAAAGAGAAACCCCTCACTCACAGGGAACACTCCCTGGTCCCCCTCTGATTTAATAAGGGTCCCTGGTGGAAGGCCCAGGAGAAGAACAGGAAGAACTCAAGAGAAACCATACCTGCTGAGGAATTCTCTGACTCCAGAACTACGTGTGGTGCAGAAAGGATGAAAACAAGAAGAAAAGGGGCAAAGAGAAATGGTTACATTTGCAGGAAACAAGTACGTACTGCAATAGAAAGAGGAAAATCCAGCACCCTGTTGCCTGACACAAAATGCCCTCAGTCGCGATGGCCTAATTACCATAGGAACCCACTCGAAAGCATGATGTGCTCACAGGCGCTGACCTTTGAAAGTACAAGGCTCACATTCACAGTAATGAAGCAACAATTGTTCCTTAACATTCTTATTTTACAGACAAAAAGGCAACAGAACTCTCTACTGTCCAGTTCCTACTCACTAACTCTCATTTCCCTTCTTCAAGCCCGACGTGGGCTCAGAGTGCCCTCTCCTCATTAGCAGGCTGGGCTAATTAACAGACTGGGAGAAGAAGAAGTAGATAAGCACTTTTTCCATGGCTGTTGGTGCTAGGCTGGGGGAAGAGCGTGATTTAAGCCCAGAGGTATCTGCTGTGATAAGGACTTTTTTTCTCCCTGCCTGCTTTTCTTCTTTCCATTAAACACGCCACATAAACACGCCAAAATCTAATCACCCTTTCTGGGTTTTCATCACACCACAAGGCACCCTTGCCCTTCAGCTGGCTATCACCCTGCCCTCCCAGCCACCACCCAACACATCTCAGAGACCCTAAACCTCTCCTAACTTGACAAACCTAGCACCAGGAGGCAGTAGAGCACAGTGGTTATGAGCTCGGTTGGGAAGGCAGCTGGACCTCAATTCAAATCTTGGCTCCACTAGCCAATGGGCTCTGTCATCCTGAGCAAGTTATAAGCCTCAGCTTTCCCATCTAAAAAGTGGGCATAATGATGTGCCTGCTTCATAAGTGTTGTTATAAGAATTCAGTGATATAATGCATGAGAAATGCTTAGCATGGTGTCTGGCAGAGCTCAGTAAACGTTTGCTATTTATCATCATCTTCTACATCATCTCTTGTTTCTATTCTCTATCCTTCACCTAGCCTAGGGGTCGGCAAACTTTTCTATAAAGGGCCAGATAGTAAATATTTTAGGCTCTACAGGCCATACGGTCTCAGTCGCAACTATTCACCTCTGCTATTGTAGCACACAAGCAGACATAGACAATACGTAAATGAATGAGCGTGGCTGTGTCCCAACAAATCTTTATTTATGGACACTGAAATTTGAATTTCATATAATTGTCATGTGGCATATAATATTATTCTTTTGATTTTTCTTTCAACCCTTTAAAAATATAAAAACCATTCTTAGTTCATGGGCTGTACAAAAATAGGCATGGGCCAGATCTGGCCCATGACCCATAGTTGGCCAACCCCTGATCTAGCCAATCCCTTAACTGCCTTCTCCCTGGCTGTGTACAAGAGTAGGCCTTACCCTACCTAGAGATAGAGAGGGGGCTAAGATTCCAGCTCTCACAGCCCAAGCCTCCGTTTCAATGTGGGTCCCTCAAGGACTACAGATGGGCTTTCCAGACATCAAGTTGAGGTTTACAAACTTTATTAAACACCTTTCTAAGTGCCAGACACTGTTAGTCACTTTTGCACCTATTGAGTATTTAATTTAGTGTACACAACAAGCCTGTGAGGTAGGTAATCACTACTTATAGATGAGGAAATAGAAAGGCCAACTGACTTGCCCAAAGTCACACAGCAAGGAAATGACATAGCAGTCAGCCCAGCTCTCCAGAATGAAGTACAGCACTCTGTCCACCACCTATAGCCACCAACCCCACATCAGCCACAAAGTAGCTCCTACATTCCAGGGAGGTGGGGGGAGCCAAAAGGTGTCAGAGCAAAAGGCAAGGCAGAGGAAAAGGTTTCGAGTGATAGGCATCCACGTACAGCAGTTCAGTTGCATCAGAATCACAGGAAGAGCTTGTTAAAACCCAGAGTGCGGGGCCCATCCCCAGAGTTTCTGACTTGGCAGATGGGAGGGGAGGCCCTAGAATCTGCATTTCTAACATGATCCCAGGGGATACTAAGTTTGATGGTCCACAGCCCACACTTTGAAAACCACTGATATGAGGTATACTTAAAAAACCTCCTTATTCTGGAAAACTGTATCTGCTTTTGCTTATCTTTTTCCCCTCTAAGTCAAAGCTTTTATAACATGTTTCAGTTGTATACTCCTTTAGCAGGTTGCCTGTTACCTATGAATTGTCCACAAGGGAGTGGCAGAAATGCATTTGTCTTCTCTTCTCAACCATAGCTGGGAAATTGACAAGGAATTTTACTTCCATTACTGCAACGTACTGGCTTGTGTGACCAAGAGCAAGGTGTTAATCACGCTAAACTTCATTTTTCTCATCTGTAAAATATAATCCTTACCCCATGGACACTTCACAGAGTTGCTGAGGATCTAGAGATCAAGTAAGTGAAGTATCCTAAAAGTGACCATTTTTAACACTGACTGTTGCATCCATCCAGATCTATGACCCAGAGATTTCCTTGTACCTGGCAGGCCCTCAATCACCAGGTGACACACTGTGACAACAGTTCTCCCTCCTCCCCTGCATCTATCACTTTTATTATCCCATCTTCCTTTCTAAGTTAATTCTAGTCCACCTATGTCAAGTCATTCTATCAAATTTACTAGATTTACACATACACTAAATATCAATAGATTCTGAGTGTAGGGCTATCAATAAAGGATGTAAACTTTGTACATGGATTTGGGGGCACCTTATTTTGTCCCCTCTTTGGTTTGCAATTGGGTTGGTTCTACTCAGGGGACACTGACAAACAGGTGTGTCATGGAAAGTTGAGATGTGTCTGTCCCTCCAAACCTCTAGGTATCATAAAGGGACTACCATTTTGGCATCAGACCGCCTAGTTTGAGTCCTTGATAACTGCACATCCTACACAAATGACTTAGCCTTGTCTATGAAATGAGATATTACCTACCTCTTATGAGTCAAGCAGACTAGATGGAAATATCTGGCATCAACTGTGTGCTTAGTAAAATCAGAATCCAAAGCATAAGGGAAAAAATTTCCCCAGAAAGAAATAAGAGTTGTTGACTTCTTCCATTTGATAAATAGCTTCAAGAACATAATATCCTTGGGGATCAACCTACTTTTTCTTCTCATTCCAAGTCTTCTCATTCCAAGTCATTAAAATTGTTCCCCTTATCCTGACCCAAAAAAGGCAGTTCCCAGGATCTAAGCATCCTTCTCTTCCTTATTAAAGGAGAGCTGCATTTCTGATGCTTTATAATCCTTCATCTGTTACCTGGTCTTCTGAACCTTGAAGGTTGGTAGCAGCCCAGGGCCACTTGTGCCTGAGTGCAACAGGTGAAATTTTATACACATAATCATCAATTATTGACTCTTGGTTGAGGAGACTGTCAAAATGCTTCTTTCAATAAATGTTACCTCAGAGTTCCTGAGCAGGGAGAAGGGCCTTGGACAGTTAGATCCTAGATAGGTTTTACAGCCCTAAAGAGACCAAGCCTTTTCATGAGAAGTATAATTTATCTTGCTTTATCTTTTCCTCCATTTATTCCTTTTATACAAATCTTTTCTGGCCTGGGGCCACAGCCTCCTGATATTTTCTTTTATCTAATTCTGTGCTAATTTCATTTTGGTCCAGTTCAAAGTTGTTTTTCCGATCAGTTCTTCTTGTGATCTTAGGATAAATTTTATCGAGTCAGATTTGATGAGTTTTGATAGAGTAACCAAGAGTTAGAAAAGAGGTGTTAAAAGTGGGTCTACGAGTGTTCCAAATCTTATTTGTGTTTTTCATTCATGCTGTGTGATAAAGAATTTAACCTTACCTAAAAAGAAGTCTGGCCTCTGCCCTCTGGCTTCTGGGAGTTAATCTCTAAAAGCCCTTGGAATGTCATCCTGATTGGAGTGTCTTTATGCCACACTTATAATGTGATTTACCTTGGGGGCTTTGAGCCATCAAGAGCTCAACCACCTAATAGACTGGAGAATGAGATCCATGCCACATGGGCAGTGGATAATGCCTATGTAATGGAGCCCCAACAAAAATCCTGGACACAATGGCTTGGGTCGATTTCCTGGTTGGCAATACTGAGCATATTTTCACACCCCAATGCTGGGAATTAACACATCCTGGCTCCACAAGAGAGGATAATGAAAGCTCCGTGCTTGGTTCTTCCCCAGGCCCCACTGTGTGTTTCTTCTCCTAGCTGATTTTAATCTGTATCTTCTCCCTGTAATAAACTATAACTGTGATTATAATAGCTTTCAAAGAGTTCTGTGAGTCTTTCTAGCAAATTATCAAAACTAAGAATGGTTTTGGGAATCCCCTGAACTTGCAGTTCGTGTCAGAAGTGAGGGTGTTCTCTTGTGGGGACTTCCCCCCTCAACTTCTCAGTTGGCCCTAATTCTCACACAGGAGCTCATAAAAAGGACTCTTAGTTAACAGAGGCAGGAAGTGTCTTTAACTGCATCAAGGTCAATTTCCTTATGTTATTTTTTCTGCTACTGCCATTTCTGGAGAGCAAATGTGAGGAAATGAGTTGATTGCAAGTCCAAGAATCTTTACGTCCAAAGCTAACTTTGCAGTCAAGAATCAGGCTGGAAGGAATGGAGCCAACTGGCACAGAACTAACAAAATGCAAAGGTTGAACTGGACTTTGGCTTCTGAGTCAGAACAAAGGGATTGATGGTCTTCAGGCTACACCAGACAGGAAGCTTGGTATCACACTTACCACCAGTTCAGGCTCCCTATCTCCTCTTGAGTAAAAACACTCTGACCTGGGAACACAGATTAAGTCACTCTGAACCAACAGGGCCAACACCAAGACCTGGCCAGGCAATGATATCAGGAAGCAGGGATAAAGTGATGAGACCTCTCCTGGAGGCAGGGAGTCAGCACTAAGATTGTTGCAGTTCTTTCCAGATGGTTCTGATCCTAAAACCAAGGCCCACATTCAGAGATTAGGAGGTTGGCCAGGAAGCCATGGTCAGGGATCCAGAGTCAAGCTACCACCTGAGGGCAGGAGTCTGGAGGGTGGGTTTAAACTGGGCAACCGTCTGTCACTCCACCTCAGAGAACGTCTCCATCCTCCCAATATTCACTTGGATGCAGATGGCTCCCAAATCCACATGCTGGACTCCAAGTTTCTAAATGGCTATCAGAAGATTCCTCCTAGAAATCCTTCCCTTGCCAAGAAACTCAACATGTCAAAAAGTGGAATTCAATATTCCTTTCAACTCCCTTCACAAATCCCCCATCTGCATGAGTGCCACAATCATTCTCTTAGTCAACCAGGAAAGGCACTTCCTGGTCAGCACGGAGTCCCACCTCTCCATGCTCCTTAAACACACTGTATCAAGCCCTGTCATTTCACTCTTCCAAATACACTTCTACCCTTGGCCCCTGCTCTTCGTTTCCACTACCACCATGCTAGGTCCAGGTCCTCAAGCCCTCTAACTGAAATTATTTCAAGTCTTTAATGGGCCACTTGATCTGCAGTAACTAGAATGGTTACCACTAAAGAGCACCTAATGTGTGCCTAGCTCTGTGCTAAATCTTGAAATGAAAGAGCTCATTGAATCCCAACAACTCTATTGTGATCATTCCCATTTTACAGATGCGGAAACTCTCCAAGGTTGAGTAATTTGACTACATCAGAAAGAGAGTAAGTAGCAGAGCTGAGCCTCAACAGGGGACTGTGTGACTCAAGAACACCACCATCTCTCCCAGGATGAGGGAGTTGGAGCAAGGACTGGAAATAGGGCATAGCTCTGAAACGTGGTTGTCAAGGGGCCACATAAGGGAAGAAATCAGGACACAGGTGCCGGGCAGTATTGTACGACTGGAGCTTCCAGTCCAGTCAAATGATCAACAATTGGAGACCTAATAGGATGGAAGAAGGTGGTGAAGCCAGGGAGCAAGGCAGTGAGGGAGCAGACAGAGCAGCTGGGGGGCAGATTCTGGCCCTGGTGAAAACAGAGGGAGCTGGACACTGTCTGAAATTAGCTATCTGTGAAGACACTGAGAATAGGAAGCATGCCCAATCCTTGGCAAGAGCTGCTTGCTGCCTCACACTTGGGCTCCCAGTCCAGGCCCGGTATGGCTGCCTGCAAATACCGCTGAGAACTATTTTCATGTGGCTGGTCAAGGCCCAGGGGCTCCCAGGCCCCAGGACAGGACTGGAGACTGGTGTGGGCCAACAAGTTGTCATCCAGAGGCCCAGAGAGAGGGAGTAGGCAAGGATGAAAGGAGGGCTAGGGAGCCACACGGACATAGCCAGAGTTGAGAGCCAACAGGATGCTGGCCAATGAGCAGGAGGGTAGTCCTAGTCCTGAAGGTCCCATCTCCAGAGGCCCATCCTCTTGTAACCTCACCCCAGTGTTAACTCATTCCAGCCTCTTTTGTACTGTTAATGAGTACTTTTCTCCTCTCTACTCAAACACAGCTTGTTCCTTCCCACCCAAAAAGCCCTAGTATACAATCTTGAATTTGTCCCCAGTGAATGAGATTCTGTTTGTGTCAGGTTAATTCCCAAACTTCCCAAGGTCACAGAGCATTTGGGAACTAGAAAGGCTTGGAAATCATTTTGCCCAAGTCCCTCATTCTTTATACGTGCTTCAAAGGTGTGACTTACCCACAGTCAGAAAGCACGGTATTGGACTAGGGGCCCACACCTGACTCTTCTGTTGCAGCAAACTGCCTTTTGTCCTCACCTAATGCACCTAGAATTACTCTTCCTGTTCCTCCCTTCTCCCCACTTCTCATCACAATGACCCACATAGCACGTGGTACACAGATGATGCAGAATGAATGTCTGCTCATTCGGATTCAATGATCTCAATTGACCTGGAGGGAAATAATCTACTAAGATTAATTTACTGTAAGGTGTGAATGACTGATAGCTATCCCCTAATTCTTTAGAGTATTTGCATTTTAAAACAAGATCATTTTGGGGGCCTCCCCCGTGGCTTAGCAGTTAAGTGTGCGTGCTCCGCTACTGGTGGCCCGGGGTTCAGATCCCAGGCGCGCACCGATGCACCGCTTGTCCAGCCATGCCGAGGCGGCGTCCCACATAGAGCAACTAAAAAGATGTGCGACTATGACATACAACTATCTACTGGGGCCTTGGGGAGAAAAAGGGAAAAAAAAAAGGAGGAGGATTGGCAATAGATGTTAGCTCAGGGGCGATCTTCCTCACAAAAAAAAAAAAAATTCTCTTTAAAACAAGATCTTTTTAACCCAAATTAGCAGTTAGAAATTCGTAAGATGTAGAATTATTTGGGGACTAGAGAGAGCTTCCTGAAGTGCTCACATCACTGCACAGGACTGTAGCACAAGCCTATAGATAGTGGGGCGAAGAGTAGCATTTGCTTTCTATGTTAGTGCCACACTGTAACCACCAGGGGGAGCTCAAGGCTCCCTCTCCTCCACCACTCCCATTCACCACTCCCGTTCCCCAACCCAGGAAGGGCCAGGCAGTTGATAAGATCACTTTATTGGGTCATGGGCTGTAGGTATGGTCTTTCTCTTTAAATTATCCCTTAGGATTCTCTCTTCCCCAAACGTTCTCCAGCTTGGGAGCTGGATCTTCCCAGTTAGGCCTGAAGCGGCTGGATTAGGCTAGTCTTAGAAATTATTTTGCTTTCTCTCCTTAGACTCACCTCTCCTGGAGATAAAAGTGACAAACTGCAGTGTGGCAAGAGCCAGGTAGGTGTGGGTTCAGGAATATAGAGCCAAGAAGCTACTTTCAACTTGTAGTACTGGAGGCTATTCACGCCTTCCCTGAGCCTAGGGAAAAAGAATCCCTGCCTAGGGACCAACATTACCAGAACGGGGCTAGTGCTCAAACCCTAGCCTGGCCTCGTCCTTAGGCAACTGTCTTGGCATCTGTTACAGGCGGCTGAGACAAGAAGTCAGTCTCCAGGATGCTGGGCACTGACCATCTCCATCCTATATAATTCCATCTTATCACAACATACCACTCCCAACCGTACCAAAAGGGTTTGCGTGCCCACTTCCTTTCCTCTCGGGTCCCAAGGCAGTGGTCATCACCTCAATTCATTTTCTCCCTTCATTTCCTTCAAGAAAGACATTTCCCATCCCTTATAACAGTAGCTCTCAAATGTGGTCCTTGGACCAGCAGCATCAGCATGACCTGGGAATTTGTCAGAAACACAAAACCTCGACCCTGACCTCAGACGCTCAAGTGGGAATCATAAATCCTAAAACTCTGGGCTGGGGCCCAGCAACTTGTCTTTTTATTCCAGGTGATTCTGATGCAGCTAAAGTGTGAAAACCACTGCCCTACAGAGTGGAAAAGGGCTACCCTACCTTAACTAAGCTAACTGTGCCCATGGAACCTCAAAGTCAGCATTTCTCAGCTCCCAGAACACTTGGGCTGTGGAAAGTCCTCTCCAGAAAGGTTAAAATAATCATAATCATAACCTATTAACAGCAGGTAACATCTAACAGCTCACTGCATGCCACCAGGAGTGGTGCAAAACATTTTACGTACTTCACCCTCACAATAATGCTATGAGGCAGGTACAATTATCAACTCCCTTCTATCAATGACATCACTAAGGTTGAGAGAATAGACATCTCAGCCAAGGTTGCATAGCCAACAGGTGCTGGATGAAGGACATGAACAACAGATCTATCAGGTCCCATAGTCCTAGGTCTAAACCTCAACACCATGTTCTAGACAGCCAGGTTTCCAGTGTTATGGGTCAGGGTGGGGTTTGTCTCCCTTCATTCCTAGTTTGTATTGGCTTCAGAATTGCTCTCCTGATCCTGCTCCCTCAGCTGCCAGGTCACCTCCCCAGGCCTGAGCCCTGCCCCACCTCTGCTCTCCTGGGAGCTCAGTCAGCCAGCCACCTACACTTAGCCCCTGGCTTCTTCCCCAGCCCCAGCTAAGCTCTCAGAAGTGGGGATGGGCTCAGAGAAGCCTAACCTGTACTGTAGCCCATCTCACCACTACCCCTAAGCCATCTCTGTCCTCATGAATGCAGGCTGCAGAGCCACCAGCTCTTTAACAGGGTTTCTGCTCATCTGTTCAGTCAAAAGCGAAAATACAGTGGGGGTCACTGGTGTGCCTTCACCTGAAGCAAGGTGTACCTGTCAGTTCAGGGCACTGACCACTACCCATCACAGAAGGGACAAGGAACTGACTGTCCCAGGGGCCCCTGGGAGAATCAGGAGGCAGCTGATGAATTCATGCCCTTCTGAACAAAGCATGAGGCCTCCTGCCCTTCCCATGTGGCTTTGAACACCTCCCCCAGTCCCATGGGAAGCACACCTGGTTTGCTTTCGTGTTTCGGGGTTTCCTGAGGGCTCACAGGGCTACTGCTCGGGATTTCCCTGTAAGAGGATGAGGCCCGGAGAGTCACCGCTCCCTTCCCGGTGCAGATTTTTGTAGGATCCATATCTGAAAAGGCAAAAACCCAAAAGAGAAGACTGAATCCAAGGTTCCTGAAGGGTTAAAGCAAAGTCAGCAACTTGATAGAGCTGGGGAATGAGATGAGCCTGGTCACAGCCACGCAGTCTGGTGGTCAATGAAAATTAACGTGTGAGTGGTGGAGAGGGACGAATCACATTTTCAGAGATTTACCATGTATCATGAGGTTAGGGGAACATGGAAGCAACAGTGAGTTCTGAGTAAATATATGAGTTACAACATCAGCTGTAAACATTTCAAAATGAAAGCGGGTTTATTCCTTTTATTAAATGAAGTTTAGGTTGGTGAGCAGACTGACCAATTAGTAAGGCACAGTTCAAGAAGGAATTCAAGCAATTTCTCAAGCTCCCAGATCATCCTTCTAAAAGAGCCAGTTGACAACACAGGGAATTAGGCAGTGGTTCTCCGGAGAATCACTGGTCCTTGCAGTTCTCCAATGGAGAACAGAAAAGAAAATCTCTGTATCAGCAAGTCAAGACCCCTGAAATGATGAGACAGGACACGCTGCCTGGGGAGAAAGATCATGGGTGAGAGCCTCACATTCCAACCTTAATGAAAGAAATTCACACCAAAGAAAACAACCAGAAATGCTCAATCCTTCAATGAACAGCATTCGATGCACCCCCAGCTGAGCCTTCACTGGGTCCCGACCTCTCCTACAGTTTGCAGTGGCCTAATAACAGACGCAGGTCATCTTTCAGAATCCCACTGAGAAGGACTTCAAAATAGGCTTCCAAAGGTCTGAATGCCCAGCCTCCAAGAAACTCAGTAATGGGGAGGCAAGAAACCAATGCAGACCACACAGTTCTAGAAGGCACATAGGAATGTTTCTCTCTATGCAGCTGAGCTGAACTGAATTCCACAGTTCATTTTCTCAAATTGCTCACAGCACAGCCTGGATCTCTGACCTAAAATTGTCAAGACTGGGATCATGGGGTAAAGTTTAAGGTGGGCATTGGGCAGGACGTGGGCTCAGACATCCAATGCATCCCCATTCCTGCACCAGGGCAGAAAAGCAAAGCCTTTTCTCTCCTGTTTTCCTTTTCTCTCCAGCAGCCCCCTTCACCACAACTCAGACAATGATGATTCGTGCTATAGGAGAGAACAGATCCGCCCCATCAGCACTTCTTCCACTGAAAGCAAAGCACAAAAGCACAATGGCAGAGCAGGCACCAACCTTGGAGAGCATCTGACTCGTCCAACCCTATCAAGACAAGTGACCAATGTCACAAAACCATCAGGAAAACTGATTCATGGTCTTTTCAGGAGGACGAGGGGCAAACTGACAAACCCAGCCCATCCACAGGCCCCTAGATGCACAGCTGGATTTGCCCGACTCCTGAGAGCACCACTGGGATAAAGCACCACCTCAGCCTCACTTGTCCTATTCTGTACAGAAGGGAGCTATGAGCTGGAGTTGACAGCCAAACTGCATTCCTCCTTGGAGAGGAGAGGCAGGAAGTGACTGCAGGCGACATTGCGAGTGGGGGAGGGAGTGCTCCGGGAAACGGCCCAGCGAGTATCACGAGGTACACCTGGCTTTGGCATCTAAAGCAGCTGCTTCAAGTTCAGCCCAATTCAGAGGTTCCCTCTGCAGCAATGTTAATTCTCAGGGAGACTAGTGTTTTAAAGTACTGGGAGCTGGAAACCTCTAGGGAGAGCCTAAGAAGTCCATGTGGCTCAGACTCACGCCAGAGTAAATGTTTAGCCTCTGGACTGACCTTCTCCTAAAGAGGAGAGGGGCAGGGCATTTGTTAGTTCTTCTCCACACTTGCCACTGACAGAAAACACACACACACATTCACATACACAGGAAGAAAGGAAACCAACTGAGGAAGTGAGAGGGAATGTCTCCTAAACATGCAAGGATTAAGCCTCCACGTCTTTGTTAGAAGAAGAAAGGAAAACCATGCATGATCTGCTAACAATTAAAAAAAGAAACCAACCCAGGGAGAGATACCTGGAGGGAGTACTAGGCCTGAAGAGTTTCTCACTGTCTTCACAGGAATTATTTTAACAGCAGAAATAGAGCGTGCACGTAAAGGGTCGGCAGTTGCTGAAAACACAAAAGAGTAAATGGTGCATCCAGAGAGAACATTTGGGAAACACTCAGGCAGTTGAGGAACTGGGCAGGGACAATACGAGGAAGTGGCCCATAAGAAAAGAACAATACGAAGAGCAGTGGATGCAGTAATTTAAAATAACCTGCTTTCTCTCTTTCGAGTTCTGTGCCAAGACGGCAGAACCCTTCCTCCCTTGTCACCCAAATGCAGTTGGTCAGTGTTTATCTGTGCCTCCTGCCACAGCAGGAACTTGCCAAGACTCTGGACAAAGAGATTTACAGAGATGCAGATGGCCTGGCAAACAGAGGAAGGGGAAAGCAATCAGGGGCCAAGGGGCCCCCTGGGAGAATGCGGGGGTGTCAGCATTGGGGGCGGGCTCTGAGGAGGAGAGCTATGGCTCATAGGCCCCAGATGAGTGGAGGAAGGAAAGGAACAAGTTCATGGGTTGCCTAGTCCTTCCAGCCATCAGAGCTGCTTCCCAAGAATCATAACTTCTAGGGTCTTGCTCTGACAATCACAGCTCTCTGTCCCCAAGCAAATCAGAACCCCCATCTGTTGGGTAGCAGATGGTCTTGCTTAAACCCACCCTTTCCTGGGCAAGATGTTGCCAAGTGTCCAAGTGCTTGCTCAAGACTCTGGGCAGCACCCAAGTGCACAGCCCAGGATCCTGACACCCAGCTGAACTTGGAGGGAGCTGAGATAACCGCCTGGAATGTGGCAAGGGCTGCTGTCCTCAAATCCCGGGTGCTCATGCTCATCTATCCGAAGGCTTCTCTCAGCCCCCTGCCTCCCCAGATTGTGGAATCTCAATAGTGGGCCACATCCTCCTTCTCACAACAAGCCTGTTGTGAGGCCTCCTCTCCTCCTCTCTCTCTTATGGCAGCAAATAGAGAGAGATGGGAGCTCATGCACTACAGCACCAATATCATTCCAACGAGCAACACCCAGAGGTCTCGTGGCCCCAGATCCACATAATAACTGGGGGCAGGGCTGTCTGGGAAGCAAGACTGTCAGTGCTGCATCAGTATCGTGCTGGCGAGCCTGTCAAGGGGGCAGGAGGGAAGAAGGCAACTCAGCGATGGACAGTCCACCTTCCAGTCAACCACGCTGACATTTCATAAGGTGTATAGCAGTCATATAGCATATGGCCATCAATAAGTAAGTTGATAATAACAATACCACATGTATTAAGATACAAACATGCTTTCAGAGTAATCCTATTGACTGCTTCTTATGACCACCTGGGAGATTGGCTGGATGGGAAATTTTTGTTACCATTTTCAGAGGAAGAAACAAGAGGCTCAGAGAGATGCTCAGTCATCCAGCTCTCAAGTGAAGAGGCTGAGACTGGAGCTCAGCTGTCCTGGCACCTGGTTCAGTGACCTCCCCAGGCCACCCTGATCACCTTCAGGTTGCATCTGCCTCCTCTTTCCAACCAAAGGTGGGTCTTACTGAGGAGAGACTGGAATCCACTTCCACCTGCCACCCAGCCCGCATACCTCTTAAGTCTCCTCTATCAATGAATTCACAGGGATGGGGTCGATGGCCCCACAGGTTGTAAAAGCACCAGAGCCCCCACATCTCTCCGTGTTCTTCATGGGATGCTTAAACACTCCCCTGCAGGCACTGCACAGGCACTGCCCTTTAATGTTCCTTGAATGCAACCTGGTCAAGATTTCCCAAGACCCTGAGAACACAGCCCTACACCATAAGTGGAGAAGGGCGGCCAGGCAGGGAAGCAAGAAGGCAAGGAGAACAGGACAGCAGCAGGACCCCTCCTGCCAGAGAGGAACCCACCCCAAACCAACCAGCCCCACTCTCCCCATCCCTCCTGCTCTCTATGCCTTCCCTCTCTGGCTGTTCCTTCTGATTTCACACTTTGCCTTATCTCAAAAGGAATACCTGGTTGAACCAGATGGAAATTACAAAGGCCAAACATGTCAAACTCTCTGAAATTATTCTTTGAGGGACAGTGCACTTTGAAATGCTCAATGACAGGACTTTTGCCCTCCCTCCTGGATACCATAAAATTTAGTGAGATGAACATGGATAGAATTCACTGGAAGCCAGAATTCAAAGTAGAATTTGAAAAACGACTGCAGATCATCAAATTCCCTTGTCTTCTAGATAGGAGAACTCATCCCAGGAAGACAAAGGACCTCCCAAGACGTCTGTTCATGAGCAGCAGAACCGGGACTCAACCTGTATTTCATCACTCCACCTCACACCACACTGCAGAAGCAACACAGGAAGCCCTGAGGCCTGGCTATTTTGGCAGCCTCGTTGGCACATTCAGGATGAGAGACTGTGGGGCAAACAGGACCTCAAAGGTCACCTTATCCATCATTCATTTCACAGAAATCTTTTGTCTTAAAATTTTTAAAAACTGAAAATGTGAGACGATGCATGTGAAACTAATGCCACTGAAATAATTTATTTCAGCAATTTAGGCTCTTGCCTCAGGGTCAGGACTGTGAATGTGTCACTATTTATTACAGGTGAAGGTGAAATGCCAGGTAAGGGAGATTTCAGGCTGATGCATGCCATACGCACGAGGCGTACCTCGGTCTGTGTATTTGATCTGCTATTCACAGCATCCTGTGAGCTAGGGACAGTTTTATTTGTTTGTTTGTTTTCTCCCCAAAGCTCTAGTACATAGTTGTATATTCTAGTTATAAGTTGTTCTAGTTCTTCTACGTGAGCCCCCACCACAGCATGGCTATTGACAGACAAGTGGTGTGGTTCCATGCCTGGGAACCAAACACTAGCCGCTAAAGCGGAGTGTGCTGCACTTTAACCCCTAGGCCATCAGGGCTGGCTCTAGGGACAGATTTTAATACGTCACCTCACAGTGGGAAATGGCAGCCTCAGACTCACAAGATGCAAGAACATGTTCACAGTCTCAGAAAGTCAGCATGAGAAACAGGTCTCCAGTTCATGGCCTGAGTAGACCAGCGACTGTTCCCACCAGGCAGGTGGCCCAGGCCCAACTCCTTCCAGAAACACTTTCCAGGACTGAGCCAGGCTTCTCTTCAAGAGCCTTACCTTTGTCCTGCCCATTGCTGCCTGGTGCCAAACCGTTCACCACGGCTTTAGAAGCATCAACATCACATTCTGAAAGAAAGAAAGAAAGAAAAAGAGCACGAGGCTTGAGACATGTCTCCCCAACATTCACTGAGTTTACATATATTCTCTACATATAAACCAGATACATTCTATACAAAATGGTTTATATATATTCTATTTCCCCAAATGCTGGGACTAAAGCCCTATCCCGAACCCCTGGAGTTCATTTGGCTGAGACTATGTCACTCTACCTAGGCTCTTAAGACTCAACTTCCCTGACATAAACCACACTGATAGGCCAGCCTGGACGCTCCTCGATCCAGACACTGCCCCTCCCCACCAGTGGCCTGGACCTCCTGACACTGGCCCCCCAGCCTCTGACCTGCTCATTGCCCCCAGTCCACCTACAGATGAAGGTTAATTCTCCAGACGCCACAGTCTCCCTTGCACCTACATTTCTGGGACGGATGGAAGGAGGGTGTTGGCAAGAAGGCCAGAAATCTCAAGTAGAAGAAACATCACAGGTTCCATCACCCCATCTCTTCTTTCTTTGACTGTCCCTTCCCCACGTACCTGCCCTAATTCCTCATGACCGTCTTCTCTCTAGGAGTGTAGGCCTTGCATTGGGCCTCCCCAAGTCAGCATCGGGGCAGCCTCTGGGCTTCCACCAGGCCCAGACTGCGTCCTTCCTTCCTTTTTTTTTTTAATTAAATATAGCTAAACTTGAAGAAATTTTGAAAAATAATTCCAATGGCTCCTACTCAAACCTCGGCAGCACAGTGCGTTGGTGTCCAACAGCCTGGGTCTGCTACAGCTCCACTACACACTAGCCGGGTGATCCCAGACAAATTATTAGGCCCTCTGTGCCTCAGTTTCCCCATCTATAGAATGGTGTGGTAAACCATGCCCACCTTTGTGGGTTTGCCAGGAGAATGAAGGGAGGCAACGCAGGTTAAGAACTTCCCTCGGTGGCTGGCAGCCCAGTCCAAACTTGGAATAAAAAGAATCCATTATTTGCATGCTGCTCTTTCCACCAAAGGTTAAAACAAATGTTTTCCACATAGTTGCTTTCTTCCTAATGATCATTTTTAATAGTGGCATAATATTCCATCAAGTAAACACACATAATGAACCTACTCATTCCCATCTTCATGGGGGTGATGTTTTTGTTTCCTTCAAATTAAGACAGAAATTCCCAAGAGTGGGACTATCAGGTCAAAGAATCCAGATTTTTTGGTATGAAATGCCTCCTTCCAGCTCCACGCCCGAGAGGAAGAACCTGGGGAGAAGTCCCACAGGCATTCCCACACCCTCACTCTCCTGTCCGGCCCCTCCTTCCTACTTCTTCCACCCTCATTCATGCCAGGAATGGTGATGCCAGTTTAAGCTAATTCTTTTTTTTTTTT